GGCAGCAGCAGATAGTTTATTAAATACATTAGACTAGTACAAAATTCAATGAAGCATAAAAGCAAAAATCAGTTCAACTTTATGACATCTAAACTAATGCTCTGCAGAAATTTGAATTTTTGCAATGCCTGGCTTCAGGGGCAGCAAGAGTCCAAGGTTAGAGCAGCATGGTGACTCTCAGCACCAGGGACCCAAGTTCGATTCTAGCTTCAGGTGACTGTGCAAATTTTGTACATTGTCCCCGTGTCTGTGTGGGTTTCCTCCAGCTGCTCCGGTTTCCTCCTACAATCCAAAGATGTACAGGTTAGGGTGAATTGGACATGCTAAATTGTCCATAGTATCTAGGGATGTTCAGGTTAGGTGTGTCAGTCATGGCAATGCAGGGTCACAAGGATAGGATAGGGGGTGGGTCTGGGTCGGATGCTCTTCAGAGGGTTGGTGTGGACTCGATGAGCTAAATGGCCTATTTCCACAGCTGTAGGGATTGTTTGGTTTCTTACCCTGTCCACTTGATCTCTGATTCTCACCGTTCACAGGCAATCAGTAAGTTTCAGGTGGGCCACAGAAACTGTACAGAAGATGACAGGTCAAAGGGATAATACGTACTGTTTTATAAATGGCATCACTGGCTTTGTCAGTTCCCATCTCTATTTGCCCCTCAAGAAAGCGATGGTGAGTTGCTTTCCTCTTGAACCACTGCAGTACATGTGGTGGACATTGTACAGTGATAGGAGGAAGTGGGTTCCAGGATATCACACCAAAAGATAGAAAGGAGTGGAGATGCACATCAAGGTTAGGATTGTTTGTGACTTGAAGAGAAAATGGTGAGAATGGGGGTGGGAGGGGAGCTTGAAGGTAATAATATTCACTCATAATTCTTTATCCCATGGCACTGCTGTCATTCTTGGTAATAAAGACGAAGAACAAAACAGATCAAATGAGAAGTACAGCACAGGAACAGGCCCTTCAGCCCTCCAAGCCTGTGCCAATCATCATGCCCTAACCAAACTAAAAAATAAATCTCTGCCCTTATTCAGTCCATATCCCTCTATTTCCTCCCTATTCATGTAACCATCCAGATGCCTCTTAAATGTTGCCAATGTGTCTGCTTCCACCACTTCTTCTAGCAGTGCATTCCAGGCTGCTACCATTATCTGCATGAAAAACTTCTCTCACACATCTCCCTTAAACGTTCCCCCTCTCACCTTGAACCTGTGCCCCCTTCTAATTGAAACTTCAACCCTGGGAAGAAGCCTCTAACTATCCATCCTATCTGTGCCTCACATAATTTTGTAGACCTTTATCAGGCCTCATCTCAGCTGCTGTCTTTCCAGCGAAAACAATCCTAGTCTTTTTAACCTTTCCGCATAGCTAATGCCCTCAAGACCAGGCAACATTCTTCAGGTAGTGTAGTAACCAAAACTGCACACAATACTCCAAATGTGGCCAAAAAAGGGTTTTATATAGCTATAACATGGTTTTCCAACTCTTGTACTCTATGCCACGGCTAATGAAGCCAAGCATGCCATGTGCCTTCTTAGTCAGCTTGGCCACCTATGTTGCCACTTTTAGGGAGCTACATGCCCAGATCTGTTTGTATGTTAATGTTCCTAAGGGTTCTGCTATTTACAGTATAATTCGCACCTAAATTTGATCCTTCAAAATGCATCACCTTGCATTTGTCTGGATTAAACTTCATCTGCCATTTCTGTGCCCAAGTTGCCAATCTATCTATATATTCTGTTGTATCCTTTCACAGTTGTCAGCATTATCAGCAACTCCACCAATCTTCGTGTCATCTACAAACTTACTAATCAGACCACTCACATTTTCCTCCAGATCATTTATATATTCTACAACAACAGAGGACCTAAGACTGAGCCCTGTGGAACACCACCAGTTACAGACCTCCATTCTGAAAAACACCCATCCACCGCTACTCTCTGTCTTCTATGACCAAGCCAGTTTTGTATCCATCAAGCCAGCGCACCCCAAATCCCATGTGATTTTAGTTTTTGTACCAATCTGCCATATGGGACTTTATCAAATGCCTTACTAAAGTCCATATAAACTACATCCATAGCCTTTCCCTCAATTATCTTTGTCATCTCTTCAAAAAATTCAATTGAGTTGGTGAATCATGACCTTCCCTGTACAAAACTATGCTGCCTGTCACTAACTCGTCCATTTTCTTCCAAATGTGCATATATCTTGTCCCTCAGAATCTTCTCCAAGAGTTTCCCCACACAGACATCAGGCTCACCAGCCTATAATTTCCTGGATTGTCCCTGCTTCCTTTCTTAAACAAGGGAACAACAGTGGCTACTCTCCAGTCCTCTGGAACCTCAATTGTGATCAAAGAAGATGTGAAGATATCTCCTAATGCCCCAACTATTTCTTCTCTTGCCTCTCACAGAAACTTGGGACAGATCCCATCTGACCCTAAGGACTTATCTACTTTAATGCAACTTAGGATACCCAAAACTTCATCCCTTAAATAATTGACATTCCCTAGAGTATTCATACGCTCATCCCTGATCTCAACATCAGTCATGTCCTTTTCCTTGATGCATACCAATACAAAGTACTCAATAAAGATCTCTCCCACTTCCTGTGGCTCCACATGCAGCTTCCCTCCTTTGTCCTTGAGTGGGCCTACTCTTTCCCTTGCTACCCTCTTTCTTCTAATATATGCAAATAAAGCCTTGGGAACATAATCTTTATCTTCAAAAAATTGACAGAATACTTCAGGACAATGACATTGCTATACAAATCATCCACTTGAAAGCTTCAGTGTGTTTTATCTCCAGACAGCTGGTCTTTGGATGAAAAAAGGATACAGAGCCAGTGTGCTTAAAGTTGAGATACTGTGACTATATAAAAGAACAGGAGAATTGCTGAATTTGCCACTCCTGTTTTTTAGTGTTTCCAGCAATAGCACTTTTGTTTCAGATTTCCAGCAGTAGCATCAGTTCAGTAGAAGCACTGTGTACTATCTATAAGATGTACTGCAGAAATTCACCAAAAGAATCCTTAGAAAGCTTTCCAAATCCATGACCAGTTTCATCTAGAAGGGCAAGGGCAGCACAGACATGGGAACAGCACGCCCTGCAAGTTTCATTCCAAGCTACTCACCATCCTGACTTGGAAATATATCACCATTCCTTCAGTGACACAGGGTCAAAATCGTGAAATTCCCTCCTATAGGAATTGTAAGGCTATCTAAAGCACGTGGACTGAAGTAGTTCAAGATAGCTCACCACTACATTCTCAAGGACAGCTGGGTTTGGGTATTAAATACTGGCCAGCCAACATGTCCAACAAGAGAATAAAAACAAATCACAGTATGTTGTGATGTGATGAACTAACCTTGGTTGTGATTTAGGATTTAGTAACCCTTGAATTCTAATATTATTTTTACTCACTCATCGCACTCATCTTTCTGAGTCAGAGGGTCTGAGTTTAATTTGCTTCCTTCAGCTGTCTCCACAATCAATTTTTTTTTTTCTTGTCTGTGATGAACCTTTGGACACATGATAGACGGCATTACTACAAGTTTGTTCTTGTGTCTCGCATTCAAATCTAGATACATGTTCAACAAGATGTGGTCGAATGACTCATATTTAAAATCAATCAGCAGCGTGCTCAGTCTGAGCCTAAAAGGTCATGGGTTCACCTTCCACTTCAAAGACTTAACTAGCTAGGCTGGCATGGTTCAGTATTGAAGAAGTGCTGTACTAACAGAAACATTGGCTTTTCAATGAGATATTGTACCTTCTCAGTGAATGTTGAAGACCCCAGAGCACAATTTGAAGAAGAAGAAGAGTAGGGGAATTCTCCCTGGTACCTTGGCCAATGTCTGCCCTTCAACTACCATCACTAAAAATAGCAGATTATCTCATCATTTGTTTGTAGGAGCTTGCTCTGAGAGAATTGGTTGCTACATTTTCTACATTACCAAGGTGAATGCCTGAAGAGAGGGATTCAAGTCATCAGGGCATACTGGTGTGGGCAAAGATCTCTCCCCATGTCCCCCTAATTAATCCAGAGCAGAAAGGATTTGGCCAGTCTGCTCAGCAGCCAATTGAGGCCCTTAAGTGGTTTCTTACAAATAATTTATGGGCTCCAGCCTATCACCACTGGTATTCATTTGGCATTGAATGCAAGACTTAACATTTGGGAAGCACACCAAGAAAACTCCATTAAGTTTGTCCTTCCGGGGGGGTAGGGGTGGTGTTGTGGGGGTCCCTTATTCAAATGCTGATGTTCCTCCCCCTCCACTACGTCTTGTATCCAAATAAGAGACCTGGCAATGGGAACTGAGGGGACGGGAAGGTGGCGAAGGAAGTGGGATGAGCTGACAAGAAGTCAACCTTTGCCCATCTTATGACCTCCCTTCCTTCTCCACTTCCCACCACTCACCTGGAATCCACCTCCTACTGTGCTTACGTGCTTCTGGAGGATTCATGGCTGATCCTTGGGGTTGGCCCCAGTGCAATACTGGCAGTAGCCACCATGCCTAGTGGTGCTGCTATTAAATAGAGTTGTCATCTTCTGAATGGCTGCAACCTCTCAGGGGTGGGACATCATTCTTCAAGGGCCTTGACTGGAATGCCTCATTGCCTTGAAGTCAATGTTATTTTCTCTTGTAAAAGTGACGTATGTCTACTACAAGTCAAGAACAGCAGATCTATGAGCAGAAGTAGGCCATTCAGCCCATCGTGCCTGCTCCACCATTTATTACAATCCTGGCTGATCGCAAATTGAACTCCACATTCTGGCCCACTCTCCATAATCCTTCAACCCATTGCTAATTAAAAATCTCTTTTTTAAACTTACTCAATGTCCCAGTGTCCATTGCGTTTGGGGGGGAAACATCCTGTCTATGTATAATCAAAGTGACTTAATTATCTACAAGGGCCTTGGGATTTTCTGAAGACGTGAAACATGCCTTGGAATTGTCTTTCTCACTCACTGTGTTTTCTCTATCTCTGCTTTAGAAGGTGTCATCCTGTCTTTCTCCTTGTCAGTCGTGATCGGGATTGTAATCGGGTCATTCTTCTGGATCGTCTTCACCTGCCTGGCACGCAGGAAGCAGGCCAGTGCTTCCATCTCCCCGAGCACCAGCCTGCGCAACCGATCCTCATCCCACAACGTCATGCTGACCAGGACCGGCTTCTACCGCAGCAACAGCTACGACAGGCACGGTGACAACAACCTGGCCTTGGCCAGTACACTGGCCTTACAACGGCAAGCCTCCCAAGATCAAGCTGACACCTATGGAAGGAAGTCCACTTTCCGAGCCTCCACTTTCCACCCTTTCGCTGAAACACCCTTGGCAGATGGGCTGGACAGAATGCAGTCCTCCTCCGGCTTGCTTGGCACCAACACCTCATCTACGCTCAACTGCAGCCTGGGCTATCAGGAGCAGCATTGGTCAGAGGCCCAACACTACGACTGTCACTCATCTCAAACCCCACCTCCTGCGTATGATTTTGTGGTGGAACCCAGCAAAGAGTCTCTACCCTGATGCTCCAGTCTCAACATTTGAGGCTTAATGGATTCTCAATATTTGTAATTTAATACGTCTACATTGGTAAGAATAGATTGGTAGCTTTACAAACTGTGCAAAAGCACACAATGCAACATTGAGGTGTTTGAGTGCTGTAAGCAGAGTATATAGAGAGAAATTGTTCCCATTGCATGAAGGGTCAAGAATCAGAAGGGCACAGATGATTGGCAAAAGAAACATTGACAATACGAAGAAAGTTTTTTCTGATGAAGTGATCAGGGATGTGCAGCATGAAAGGATTATTGAGGCTTTCAGAATCAAGACTTTCAAAAGGGGAGTTGAACACAGAAAATATTTACAGGGTTGGGGCAAAAGACAGGGAAGTGGGACCATTTGAGTTACTCTTGTTGAAAACCAATATGGACTCAATGGGCTGAATGGCCTCCTTCTAACCTTTAACCAATATATAATTCTGTGCCAAATATTGTAAAAATCAAGTGATTCTAATATCTGCAATTACAAGAAAGGCTTGCATTTATAGAACACCTGGCCCCATCTCATGTATGAGCCAAAGTGTGCCACATTAAATGAGGAATGTTTTCTGAAGTGTAGTTAATGCTATAATGTTGAGAAACACAACAGCCAATCTGCACACAGCAAGCTCCCACAAACAATAATAGAATGATGATCAAAGAATCTTGTTTAGTAAGCTGACTAAAGAGAAAATATTGAGCAGGCCATTATGGAGAGATTTTCTGCTCTTCTTTCAATTGTGTCAAGGGATCCTTTATGCGAGGTTCAAACTTTCATCTGAAAGATATCTGTCCAACAGTGCAGCACTCCCTCAATACCAATGCTCTTTCTAATTTCTATTCCTTACACACATTCTATTGATTGCATTCTGAGATGCATTTCTGAGTTCTGTGAAGCTGTGAACCCGTGCAGCTTAGAATAAACATTGGACAAAAACAAAGTTGCTGGAAAAGCTCAGCAGGTCTGGCAGCATCTGTGGAGGAGAAAACAGAGTTAACGTTTCGGGTCCGGTGACCCTTCCTCAGAACTGATGGTGGTTGGGAAAACGGCAGTTTATATGCAGAAAATAGGGAGGTGGTTGGGGTAGGGAGTAAACAATAGGATAGAGCCCAAAGAGAGAGAAAGACAGTTGGACAGACAAAGGAGTTGCTAACGATCAGGCTGGGAGGGTGAATAGTTGTTAATGGGGACTGTTAGTGACTAACAACAGGGGGTGTGTTGTGGCAGGCTATGTGGTAATACACACCCTGTTGTTAGTCACTAACAGTCCCCATTAACAACTATTCACCCTCCCAGCCTGATCGTTAGCAACTCCTTTGTTTGTCCAACTGTCTTTCTCTCTCTTTGGGCTCTATCGTATCGTTTACTCCCTCCCCCACCCACCTCCCTACTTTCTGCATACAAACTGATGTTTTCCCAGCCACAATCAGTTCTGAGGAAGGGTCACCGGACCCGAAACGTTAACTCTGTTTTCTCCTCCACAGATGCTGCCAGACCTGCTGAGCTTTTCCAGCAACTTTGTTTTTGTTCCTGATTTACAGCATCCGCAGTTCTTTTGGTTTTTATTTAGAATAGACATTACCCAGTACTGCACAGAATATTGTACTAAATACTGAGCATTCATGAAAAGAAAAAATCGAATGGCCCTGTAGATGTTGTAAAGATTAAAAATCTGCAACCTGAGTCTAAATCCAGCCCAAATCCATTGAAGGAAAGTCTCCCACTGCTGGTTGTTAGATTCTGAGACTACATTCCATCTCATTTCCGACGAGCGTGAGTTTGTAGCCTAATACTGTCATATTGCTCTCTACATGCAAATATGACTTATGTAAAAAAAGAAAATCATTTCACCACTGTGGTGAAGAGCATCGTTCTAAGCTTTAGAGTTAAGGCATGTTGTTGGACAACCTACTCTGCATCTAATGCTGAATGAAATAGAGTCATAGAGTTGTACAGCATGGAAACAGACCCTTCAGTCCAACTCATCCTTGTTGACCAGATATCCTAAATTAATCTAGTCCTATTTACCAGCATTTGGCCCATACCCCTCTAAACCCTTCCTGTTCTTGTACCTATCCAGATGCCTTTTAGATGTTGTAATTGTACCAGCCTCCAACACATCCTCTAGCAGCTCATTCCATACACACACCATCCTCTGTGTGAAAAAGTTATTTCTTAAATCTTACCCCTTTCACCTTAAACCTATGCCCCCTTGATTTGGACTCCCCTACCCTGGGGAAAAGGCCTTCCCTATTCACCCTATCTATGCTCCTCATGATTTTAGAAACATCTATAAGGTCACCCCTCAGCCTCCAATGCTCCAGGGAAAATAGCCTTAGCCTATACAGCCTTATCGTTCAAACCCTCCAACCTTGGCAACATCCTTGTAAATGTTTTTTGCATCTTTCAAGTTTAATAACATCCTTCCTATAGAAGGCAGAACAGAATTGAACACAGTATTCCAAAAATGGCCTAACCAGTCTCCTGTACAGTCGCAACATGACCTCCCAACTCCTATAATCAATACACTGACCAATGAGGACAAGCATGCCAAACGCTTTCTTCATTGCCCTGTCCACCTGAGACTCCACTTTCAAGGAACTATGTACTTGCATCCCTTTGTTCTCTTTGTTCAGCAACACTCCCAAGGACCCTACCATTACATGTACAAGTGCTGCCCTGATTAATGGGGTCCTGAATTCAAAGATAGCTCTACCAAAGAGCTTGTATTGGCATTATGGGCCAAAGTGCCTCCTCCTGTGCTGTCATCATTCCACAATACACCTGACCTGGCAGTATTCAATAGAAGGAACATTTGACAACCATCAAAACCATAAGAGGCCTGATCCTGAGCAGATTCTGCTTGGTAACATGGATCAAGCTTTACTCTGCATGGAACTGAAACCTCAGTATAATTGATCAGGTCTCGTAAATGGGCAAAGAGGTAATACAGATGGAGTTGTACTCTGTATCCAACTTATGACAATTTGAACAAAAACAGAAGTCGCTGGAAAAGCTCAGCAGGTCTGGCAGCATTTGTGAAGAAAACATCAAAGTTAACATTCAGGTCCAGTGATCCTTCCTCAGAACTGATGGTAGCTAGGAAAACGTCAGTTTATATGCAGAAGATAGGGAGGAGGATGGGGTAGGAAGTAAATGATAGAATAAAGGATAGAGCCCAAAGAGAGAGAAGAGTAGTTAGATCGACAAAGTAGTTGATAACGATCTGCTAGGAGGGTGAATAGGTATTAATGGGGACTGTTAGTGACTAATAATGTAATGTAATGACAGGCTATGTGATAACAAGGCATGGTGTGTGCAGTAGGGGGCTAGGACATGATTTTCCTATATCAATTTGAAGTGGGTCTTGTGGAAAAAAAATCTTTGCCCCAGCATGAACTCTGAATATGCAACTCAGAATCTAGAGAAAATGATAGAATGTCAGATTTCTGTGGAAAGGTTGGTAATAATTGAAACATTTTAAAGCTCATGAGGAACTCATTCCACCCTCAGGAGACACAACGTACACTTCTGCTCATTAAATGCTATTGAGGCAAACATTCCAAGTCTGAGAAATGTGTTGTCACCAATTGAATTGACATCTCACTGATAAATCTAGAACTGCTGAAATAAGAGGAGAGTTGTTCGTAGACTAGAGTCAAGTTGTCACCATAGTCTTACCAGACCAAGGGCTGCTCTTGCATTAGAGAGAGACAACTGATCGTGATTTAACCTGAGGGCCATCATACCTTCTGCAAGAGGAGAGGTTGAGCAGGAGAGTCCTTCATGGTAACCATAGCCATTGATGGGAATTGAAACCAAGCTGTTGGCATTATACTCAGAGATGGTAAGAACTGTCGATGTTGGAGTCAGAGATAACATTGTGTGGATCTGGAAGAACACAGCAGGCCAGGCAGCATCAGAGGAGCAGGAAAGTTGACGTTTCGTCAAGAAGGGTCCCAATCCAAAACATCAATTTTCCCGCTCGTCTGATGTAGCCTGGCCTGCTGTGTTCCTCCAGCTCCACACTGTGTTATTGTTGGCATCACACTGTTTCACAAACCAACTATCCAGCCAACTGGAGAATTCTTCTCCAAGCTCCTGATCATTGCCTGCTCTTCAGAGAAGGAGTCTACCTGCATGCCAGGTCAGAGGGCAACTGTCCTTCAAAACTGAAAGGAAAGACAAAGACACATTACACTGATCAGAGTACTCGTCTATGCTGATGATGCCACGCCAGCCATGTGAAAACTCAACTAAAAAGACTCATAGGCTGTCTTTCCCACATCTGAAACTTGTTCTCCATGAGGTTAAACTTTCATGGGACAAATATTGCATTGCTAACCCTTTTCACACTAAATAACACTCCAATGGAAGTGTATCAGAGATAGTAGGAACTGCAGATGCTGGAGAATCTGAGATAACAAGGATGAACACAGCAGGCCAAGCAGCATCATAGGAGCAGGAAGGATGACGTTTCGGGCCTAGACCCTTCATCAGAAATCTCCAATGGAAGTGCTGAGCACATATTGCTGCATGAAATCATAGAATCATTGCAGTGTGGAAACATGCAATTCAACCCAACAAGTCTGACTCTCCGAACAGCATCCCACCCACCCCCCCATACCCTATCACCTTGTTTTTCCTTTGGCCAATCCACCCTAACCTGCACATCCCTGGACACTATGGGCAATTTAGCATGGCCAATCCACCCTAACCTGCATATCTTTGGACTGTGGGAGGAAACCAGAACATCTGGAGGAAACATGGGGAAAATGCACAAACTCCAGACAGACAGTCACCAGAGGCTGGAATTGAACCCGGGTCCCTGGCACTGTGAGGCAGCAGTGCTAACCACTGTGCCACACTACAATGAAAAAACAATCTGTTCATTGGTGCATGACGTGATACACACATTGAGAAAGCAGCTTCAGCACTTGGACAACTCAATCCAAAGCATATTGGATAACATCATGTTAACCCTTCGGACTTAAGCTGATGGTTTATGAGGCTTGTGCTCTCAGCACCTTGCTATGAATGGATGGTTATAACTTTCAATTTCAATGTCTTTTCTCTCTGTGGCAGTATAATGGGTATATCCTGATAGGACAAGTCACAAATACAGCCGTCTTCACAGACGCAGAGAAGTTTGCTAGCACTCATCAAGCAGAGACAGCCTTGTTGGTTCATGCCCATTCAACAGTTTGAAAAACAATCTCATACCCATGAATGTTCAGTAAGGGGAGATAGCTGGCAATCAGCCAGGTACTCAAACTCTGCTTCAAGGATATCTGCAAGCGCTTGGACATTATCACATCTGGAAGTCATTAATCAAACTCAGAGGAAAAAGGTGGCACCTCCTATGGGCTGTCTTGTACCACTTTGATGAATCAGTGATTACAACAACTTGGAAAAAGACACCAATAGTGAAAGCAATAAGCTACAATATTTGAAGGCTGCATGAAAAAGGTAAAGACACCATTGTCCCACTTTTGCATTGCAGAGAGGGTCACCACACCTCAGACAAGGTGCAAGGCTGAGAAGGTAGGATGGGAATTGAACCCATGCTATTGGCATCACTCTGCATTACACACTGGCTATCCAGCCAACTGTATGATCCTACCTCCAGCTTCATGAGCGGCACTTGTGATACACAAAAAGCGCAACACATGAAGACAACCCCATCTGAAATGTGCATCACCCCTCATGGATGGAAGGATGTCAGATTGTACTATGGATGATTGATTGTCCTAAAGACCTCACTTCAAACTCAATAATTTATGCTCAGCCAAACAGTAAATTGCACATTCACTGTAGTCCTGAAAGGGGCCTGCATTCATTAAGAGCAACCCCGCATTTCTATAGATTTTTTCAACACCTCAGGAAGACTTTTATAGCCAGTTATATTGTTTTTGCAATGTATAAATACTTTTAAGTGCTTTTTAATCACTGTTGTGGTGTTGGAAATGCAGATCCACAGCAAGCTTCCACAGACACCAATGAGATAACGATCAATAATTTTTTTTGTGTGTGTGATGTAGAGTGAAGGAGAAATGTTGGCCCACAAACCCTAAGGTGAAGCTTTCCATCAGCAATACTCTAAAACTGATTTCAGAGAAGTCAGTAAGATACATGTCTCCCTCAACCTATTTCCCATCACGAACAAGAAAAGGTGGCCCCACTTCATTAGGAGACCCTGAGCACAAGGTTTGTACTTTTCAGAAACAATTCACCACTAAATCGCAAGAGCTGGTCTTCGGGGTTGAAATTGTGACTCGCTGCAAACACAGGCAAAAATTCATGTGAATTCCTTTCATTTTGGAGATTGTCCAACTGAACTTAGCTCAGAAATTACTCTAAGATTTTCAATTGTATCAGATTCTTGCCCATTATTTTCCAACAAGCATTGGCCTGTTTATTTTAATAGGTTTCAATAAGTGATCAACTTTGGTAAGCCACCAGGTGGAGAGAAATCAATACAAATGCATTCAGCATCTGTATTATTATATAGTGCGGCCAGGTGAAAATCTATACTGTTGTTTGTCTTGAACCCTTGAGAGGAAATGATAGTGAAATTATTGCTGTCCCTTCATAACATGCTCTAATATGCTCACAAAACCTGCTTGGTGTTATCAGGGAATGGTATTCTCAATCCAATGTTCACCATAAACTGTAAAATACGCATTTTTAATAGGTCCTTGCCTTAAGATCATAATACTTTTTGTTTCAATTGAATTGGATTTTGAGGAGTTTTCTTTTTGTCGTTCACTGTTTTATGCAATGTTGCATTTGTTTTACTCATTAAAAAGATGGAAACTAACTTGTTTTTGTAAAGCTGTCTTCAATTCACTTATTGTATCTTCATTCTTTAAAACATTGCTATAATTTTCAGTGTTTTATCTACTCTTTGTGTTGATCAGCTGACATATAAATCACCTGCTGAGACATATTACAAAATTAAAAGTCTCTGAGCCAAACGAGTGGCAAACCCCTATACGGTAAAGGGAAGCAGTGTGCACCCTCC